TTACGAAATATTCAAAAAAGAATTAATACCTATTCTCCTCAAACTATTCCAAAAAATACAGAAGGAGGGAAGGCTCCCAAGCATATTTTATGAGGCCACTATTACTCTGATTCCAAAATCAGACAAAGATATTACAAAAAAAGAAAATTACAGGCAGATATCCCTAATGAACATAGATGCAAAAATCCTCAACAAAATACTAGCAAACCGAATTCAGCGTCACATTAAAAAGATCATACAACACGATCAAGTGGGATTCATCCCTGGTATGCAAGGTTGGTTCAATTTCCACAAATCAATTAACGTAATACATCACATTAACAAAATAAAAAATAAAAATCATATTATCATATCAATAGAGGCAGAAAAAGCATTTGACAAAATCCAGCAGCCATTTATGATAAAAACTCTTAGTAAAGTGGGAATAGTGGGATCATATCTCACCATAACAAAGGCCATATATGATAAGCCCACAGCAAACATCGTACTCAATGGGGAAAAGCTAAAAGCTTTCCCCTTAAATTAGGAACAAGACAAGGCTGCCCACTTTCACCACTTCTGTTCAACATCGTTCTGGAACTCTGGCCATAGCAATCAGACAAGAAAATGAAATAAAAGGCATCCAAATTGGAAAAGAGGAAGTAAAAGTGTCATTATATGCGGATGACATGATACTATATATAGAAAATCTCAAGGACTCCACCAAAAACCTGTTAGAACTGATAAATGAATTTAGTAAGGTAGCAGGATACAAAGTTAACATTCAGAAATCAGTTGCATTTTTATACACCAATAATAAACTATCAGAAGAAGATATCAGGAAATCAATCCCGTTTACGAATTACTTCAAAAACAATAAAATACCTAGGAATACATTTAACCAAATAAGTTAAAGACCTGTACTCAGAAAACTATAAGATGTTGAAGAGCGAAATCAAAGAAGATACAAATAAATGGAAATACATACCATGTTAATGGATAGGAAGAATAAATATAGTTAAAATGTCAATACTACCTAAGTCAATATATAGATTCAGTGCAATTCCTATCAAACTACCAAGAACATTTTTCTCAGAAATAGAACATATAATCCAAAATTTTATATGGAGCCATAAAAGATCCCGAATAGCCACAGCAATCTTGAGAAATAAGAACAAGTGGGAGGTATCACGCTACCCAACATCAAATCATACTACAAGGCTATAGTAATCAAAACAGTATGGTACTGGCATAAAAAAAACACATAGACCAATGGAACAGAATAGAGAGCCCAGAAATAAACCCATCCATATACAGTCATTTAATCTATGACAATGGAAGCAAGAATTTACATTGGAGTAAAGATAGTCTATTTAATAAATGGTGCTGGGAAAATTACA